TCTACGCCAGAGTCGGCGTAAACTAACAAATGCGAAACGAGCCCCTTGTATTCGTGCTGAGATTTCGTCAGAGATCAACCCATTGGCCCTGGCTGATGGTACTTCCCAAATAAGTGAAGCGGTCAACGTGCTCTACCACTTCACTTCCTATTTTTAAACTAGGCGTCGATGTAGTCCAGTCCATACCTCACCTATATGGAATATGCCATATTTTGATTTGATCACCTTTAACTCTCTCCTAGTTTAATTGTTTTGTAGCTAAAGACGGTGTTTCAGTCTCTTTACCTACTGCGTATGAATTAATCCAAAGGTTTTTTTTCACTTTTCTTTATTCACCATAAAGTAACCATTGTGTGTGTGTGTGTGTGTTATTCAAACCTGTTAGTATTTTCTTAAAATCTTGTCTGACTATCGATCCAATAACCTTGACCTCTTAACTAAATCAGATGTCTTGAAGCGAAATAATATGCCGAGTCTGAATATATATTTGTGTATATTTACATATGTTCAAGCTTGAATCTATGACAAAAGTTGAAATATCATATATTAGAGAAATTAACAATTTAATCTGAAACATGATCAACACTTCCATTGAAATCTTTCCATGATAATTTTTGGTTTTATTCAGAAATTTAAGATCTATATGGAAAATATTAATAATAATAATAACAGCTTTACTCCAAACGGTATTTTCGGTACAAATATGGAATTTCCAGCATGCAGTACAGTAGCGCAGTATGGCATCTAGTTTCCCCATTAATAATGGGGTAATAATTAGAACAGGCCATTTACTTCGATAATATTGTTCAGTAAAAGAATGAATGGTTATAATATTTCATCATGAGCTGACACACCAGTTAGAGAACCATTGGAAAACCAGCTGGTAGTACTGGACAACTTTTCGTCCTAGTTTGGGACTCTTCATCAGTAGGCACCCAACGTGGTTCGAACCCAGGACTTTCTGATTACAAGGCGAGCTCGAATATCAATGAAGTATTCACTGGTGACTGGCACTATTCAGCTAGGTTTTAGTGGGAAGTCGTGACCAGTAGGGTGCAGCAGGCCGGGTGTGAGGAAAAATACTCACCGAAGACATTGGCTGACGGTTGCGCTATATCGTGAATTGGCAGAAGTTGGCCATTGGATTGTGTCCCAGTGGCCTGATGGTATATGAGCTCTACTTGTAATCAGAAAGTCCTGAATGCTGAAGAGTCCCAAACTAGGACGAAACAGCTGTCCAGTACTACCAGCTGGTTTTCAAATGGTTCTCTAACCAGTATCAGCTCATGATGAAATCCTGTAACCAATCAGCCAAATCCCTACAAACCAATACTTGAAGAGAATGAATATAAAATTAAATTAAGTGGAAATATTAACAAAGTAAATGGGTTCATTTACTTAGACTTCCGCAATAAGTTAGTAATTCTCTATCTTACACTTTTCTCATCACATAAAATGTGTACCTGTCAAATAAGGTATTGTAGAATTTTTGTACTTAGTCGTCCAACAGTAATGTCTCCTATAGTTGCCTCTTTTTCTACCCGATGAGATACAAGGAGACAGTTGTGTATAGAGACGTTGCCTCAGAATTTGAGAAGACAATACTTGCTAGCTTCTTGAAGGAATCCAAATATCCATCTAGAATAGTATTAACGAGTTGGTTTAGCAACACTCCACTTGTCCCACTGACGGCTTTTACTGCTCTTCTTGGGTGGCCCAAGAAAGAATAAGGTGGTGGTGGGGGGTGCGATAAAGCAGAATAGACAAGAGTACAAGAACTAACAATCTTAGAAAGCAGAGACTGAGTGATCACAGACTGTCTTAACTACCTTATGCAGAATGTTAAGTGAAATATCATCTTAGTTATTAACACGATATTGGAAGACTAGGAAACATGATCAGAGGAATTACACAGTCCAAGGTATTTAACACATTCGATTTAGTTTCGACTTCCTTGCTATCGGTGATTGTTCATGTAAGACGCGTTTGTGTCTGCCAGTAAAATTAACAATCTGATTCATATTTAGAGGGATTAAGCTTAAGACCATTTGATCAGGACCAGTGACTAATTTCTAATAAAAAGTTACTCATTTTGGAACAGTCTGACTAAGATTTGATCGCTAGCATAGAAATGATCAGATCATCGGCATGCCTGATAAAATTGACTTCATCAGAACGGGACAAGTTATGTAAGAATAAAGAAAACAAAAAATGAGAAAGAACAGCACCTTCGATGAGGAACAACAGCTACAGTAAGTGAAGCAAGCAGTGCAGGACTTCCCATTGTCAACAGAGTACTGCTTCGTATCAGAAAAAAAAATTACAAATGCAATCACTTATTAGTCCGGCAAGGTACATGTGTCCCAGAAAGCTTGTTTAACAAAAGGTGGCCTAGGTACAGAGTTAAAAGCGGCAGATGTGTAATCTAGGAAGGCACACTGAACATACTTTGTACCTCTGTCTAAACTAGAAACAATACTATGATATAAGACGATAGGGGCATTTAAATTACACCTTCTGTACAAATAAGTAAATTAGTTAGGGTAGTAAAAGCTCTCAATGAAGATTCAAGGTTAAGTAAAAGCAGTTTTTCCATTATTTAAAAAAAAAGTGAAGTAGTAATGAGGAATAATAAGGAATTCAAATAGTCGAAAGTACTTTCATATGAAGAAGGAACATCAGAGGCCTTATGTACTATGCTTAGTGAGGCTGGAATTAGGGTGACATTTAAACCAACCAGCTGAGTCGGAGACAAACTTTCCTAACTTAAACACCCGATAGATCCACTTAGGAAAAGTAATATAATTTATCAAATGTCACATCATCACTGTTAGATCAGATGAATAGATCAAAATTAATTAGATAGAATTGAGGAACATCGAGATTTAGCCAGAATGATCAACCCACCTAAGTTAAAGGATCTAGCAAAAAAACCTGGTTATTGCAGTGCATTCACTTGTATGTAATCCCTCAATATTGTGGGACAGAGTAAAAGTATCAAAAAGTAATGTGATCAGGTTGAGAAAGAGAGAGAGAGAGAGAGACTGATCATAGCATCTTTGTTCATCAAATTCACACCAAACACATGCAATTTAAATGATTCAAAGCCCCCACTGGATATATGGAAAATCACAGTGAAAGCAGCAAGAAGTTTAACTTTATAAAGCAAGTTATCAAGAAGTTGTATGAATACATTGAGATATGATTATGAGCAATAAGTTGTGCTCAAAACGTCTTCACTTCTTCATAGATCTAAAACAGGTGTGGCATAACGAAATCTGATAAATTATAACATCATAATTCGTGTTATAATTTAAGTAGTTTGATTGGACACTAGTTAATAACTAGTGCGTAATGTGTCTAGTCCTTGATGTTGGCACAGACTGAATTCTATGAGTCAAGTTTGACCACCATGACAACATAGATGGCCAATAAATCTTACAGGAGGTCGATCGCGAGTCCGAATAGCCTAGTGGTAATAACGTCTCTGACTGTGGCACTCTCTGGGTGATGTGAATTCAAATTTCAGAAGGGGCATGAGTTCCTTCAACGTTGCGGATATGCCTTGCTGACTGATGAGTGCCAAGTCGTACGAAACGTAGGTCAGGCAAGGCTTCCTGCAGGTTTCCTCCTACCATCTAATATCAATGATTCATGGTGCACCGCGATGGTGAGCCACCTAGAATGTTGGCCACATTGCAAATTTAACTGACTGTTAGAATTCAGTCTGCACCAAAAAGATAGGACTACACACAAACACATTACACTAATTACTGACTAGTGTTCAATCAATGAAACGAAAGCTTTTTGGCAGTAGCTGAGCCAGCTTAAAAGGACAGCACAGAACAGAGTACGACAACTGAACTGTGCTGTGAAGGCCAATTTTCCACTCTGAAAGCAAGAAATATCCTGATATCCTATCATTTAATTAACGCGTCATCTTTTTTGTCCATCTTTTCATTAGAAGCTCGCCTGTAGTCCAACACCAGGGATGCCCTGTGTGCTATGATAGATGTGACACTGTGAGCATCGTATACTTTTCTAATATTGGCTTCCCTGAATATATATATATATATATATATATATATATATATATATATATATATAAAAGCCAATTGCCTCGATTTTGCTACCTCATCATTTGGTGGAGTGACAACAGTCTGTCTGGTCTTCTGAGTGTCAGAATGAAAAAACTCATCTGGCAGTGGGTAATGGCAGGAACCAAGAGATGAGTTACGTGCAGCAGACACCAGCTCGTGGCGACCGCTGGTGAGGGTTTTGGGAAGCTGAACCCTAGCTAAGAGCTGCCGCAAGCAAGAAAAACATTCATGTACGGCCACTCAGCTCAAATAAACAGTGCCATGAAATCCTACTGAACCTAATATGGGGCATGGTGCCTCAGGGGACTGAGATCACTGGAAGTTTGGGTGAGAGGGCTGGGACCGTCGTCACTTGTGACTCATGGCTAGCGGATGGCTCTAGATGACTTGATAACCCTGCAGTGGATTGTTGGAACGGCATTTTGCATGACAGCCAGTCGGAAACGGTATTTCATGTAGAGTGGGAAATGGATTGCAGGTGGGAATCTCATTTTCATGAGGCAAGATAAGCGGTCTCCCAGCACGCAAGAACTCCTGGTTAGAGGTACCCGTCCTGGGTTGGCCGGCTGGGACTCTCATAAGTTGTTCTGGGACTGGGTGAGTTTCTGGAGTAGCTTGCATAGCAATACACGCTAAACAGAAACAGAACATAAATAGATAGACAATTTACCCCGTGTATCTGCTGTTGTTGACATTAGCAGCAAAATCTACAGACGATGTGGATGAAATTAAAATTTTGAGAGGAAATAGCTAACTTCGATCAAATTTCTCCTGTTGACAGTGAATGATGTTTGTTATTGTCGATGACGTAAATGAAGAGTAGTAATCAGTCGAGTGAAAGACAAAGTGAATACAACAAATTCTCTTCTTCTTTGTCTATTATTTTTTTCCCAATTTTAGCCTTGTTGGTGCTGCTGCTGTACTCACTTGTATTGCAAATTATATGATTGAAGCTCCACATCTACTATTAATTCCAGAATCCTATGGTGCTCTACAGTTGATGAAGACTGTTGCCTATTTAGGCACATATATCGGTGGCATTACGCTAACTGGGTCATTAATAGCCTTTGGTAAACTACAAGGTAGGTATGTGTGGTTGATTAATAATAATTATCCTTATGAATTAAAGCGTAAACTTCATTTACGTTCGCTTTTGTTGTGAACCTCCTACATTTTTATTCTGTTTAATTAACACTAAGGAATGAAGGGGAAAATCACTTATGCGTTTGATGCAACTGTGAGTCGATTTTTTACTGAATATCTGAGGATATGTCTTTCATAACTTGGAGCGTCAAGAAAAGCGTTTCGATCTGGTTGCTTCAAACCTGCATCAACAGCTGCCTTCTCTGTCCCATATTGAAAGTCAAGTAACCAGCAGGGAAGGATTAGCAAAAAGGAACTGTAACAACGAACCAACGAAACAGCTATCACTTAACAAAAAAACGGGGAAGAAGGAAATGTGGGACAGACTGGATGGACATACTGTGGAGAGATTGTTGAGTGACATCATAAGCCAGCTAAGCCCTCAGCTGGTATGAGAATGAAAAAAGACAGTTTTGATTCTCCAGGCTGACATGGAGGGGATTAAAGTTAACGGTAGTCGTAGAGCCAACTAAAGAGGAGTGCAGAGAACAGGATTTTCCGCTCAGAACCTAAGGGAATAGTATATATATATCAGTGTGATCACAAGTTAACATCACTTAGAGGGCCATTGGAGTCGTGAACAGCTGTTTCATCATTTTCCGAGACTCTTCACCACTACTCACTCACTAGGCTTTGTACCCAAGACTTTTCAGCTAAGGGTGAGCTCGTAGACTATTCAGCCACTCGGACTCCATCCAAAGGTTCACGAATTTCAACTTCTGCCATTTCTTGATGTATACATTGTTCAACCGCTAACCAGTATCACAGGCGAATATTTGATCTCTTACCTGATTCAGTTGACCTCACCGGTTATGAATTATCACTAGAACTCCAGGCTAATTTGTTTTGTAACCAGTCGCTAGTGATTATCCTATTTAATTTTCAAGTGTTAGCTTGTGGGGATTTGATTGGCTTCAAGTTTGATTACGGGCTGATATCAACTAGAAAGCCACTGAAACTAGGGAGTCTATGAGTGCGACTTTTACATACTGCAGAGGTAATTAGAATTTATCTGAACAAGCCAAATCTGTGTGTTTTAAAGAAATTTGTACAACCGCTTTCTTTGCCATGACCAACTACATAATATATATTAAGTATCAGCATTTCATCATCAGCTGACATTAGTTAGAGAACCATTGGAAAACCTGGGAGTACTGGATAGCTGTTTCGTCCTAGCACTCTCAGGTTTTCCAATGGTTCTCTAACTAATGTCAGCTCATGATGAATTCCTGAAACCAATCAAATCCCTACAAACCAACACTTGAATACCAATGAGATGCTCACTGGCGACTGGCCCTATTTAGGTAGGTAGTTACCTGGGTTCAAGTGAGAAGTCGTCGGGTGTGAGAACAAATACTCGCGGAAGACATTGGCTAGGGGTCGCGCTATGTCGTGAATTGGCAGAAGTTAGAATTCAAGGACCATTGGATCGGGTCCCAGTGGCTTAATGGTATACGAGCTCGCCTTGTAACTGGAAGGTCCTGGGTTCGAATCCCGGCGGGTGCGTACTGATGAAGAGTCCCAAACTAGGACGAAACAGCTGTCCAGTACTCTCAGGTTTTCCAATGGTTCTCTAACTAATGTCAGCTCATGATGAAATCCTTCATGTTTTAGAATTATAATTTTAATTCTGGCGATTTTCTTTTTATTATTATTATTATTATTTTAATATTGCCTTGTTGTATTCATATAACAGACTAATTTGTATGGAATTATTTTCAACTGACTTTCTTTTAGGCTTATTACATTCAACTCCCCTGTTATTACCAATGAGAAATGCATTGAATGCTAGTTTAGCAACATTATCTGCTGGTTGTCTGATTGGTCTACTTTCACTTGGTCCTGAAGCAGTAGGACCTGGACTTGCTCTGCTTATTGGTGGAGCTGGTATAGCTGGTGGTATATCTGGGCTGACTTTGACAGCTGCTATTGGAGGTAAGTTGTTCTATTGAGGTTGATCATAAAGAATCTTGTGTCTATATATATATATATATATATATATATATATATATAAAACATAGGTATCCGGAGCAGATTTTGAATGAGCTGATAACACCAGCCCACTTAGGCACACTAAAGTGAATGAAGCAGGCCCCGTTTGTGATTACAGCTGAGCATTTAAGACAAAAGGTTACATCTTTACTTTAATTGTAATATTCATTTGCTTATCTGATATTCACTAAAGTCTGTTTTAAACTGTATCACAATTTGCCAACTCTCGTATCCTACCTATTCTACTTTACTGTTCCCCGTTAGTCTTTCCTGGGTTACTGAAAAAGGATTATACCATCCTGAGAAGGATGTTGAAGGTAGTTAGTAGGACTAGTGGTGTGAAACTCAGTCAGCTCGTCACTACTTTAGTAGAAAGGCATCTGAATACATGCGAGAAATGGTCTGAAACGATACTCTCCGACCCCCAACACCCCCTCTATTCCCAACTCTCTCTCTCTCGTTGTATCTTATCGGGTAGAACCAGAAATCAGTATAAAATAATATATGCTCATACAACCAAGTATAGGAAATCAACGATACCGTATATGGCCCGTGTTCTAAGTGTCATAGACAGTGTTAAGCGCGAAACCTATGACTTGCTTTGCTTTTAACAACATAATTTTGGCTCTTTTATTTCTCTCTTATTTGTATTCTACAGTGAACAACTTCTTAAACATACTGAGCTACCTAAATTATTAACATTGGCTTACTTTTTTGTACTTTATTCTATTCCTTCTTTTGTGTATCTACTGGTCCCGACTATATTAGCACTATGAGTATTAAAAAGTTGTCCTGTCATTAACCATTATGTAATATTAGTTTTGTGATGGTTTTTTTGTTCGGCACTATTTAACTGACAATCTTGGTTGTGAACGTCGTTATCACAATCTTAAAATTTTGTATTATGCAGGATCACTCACACTACCACTACAAACACCGCATTAGACCTGACAATAAAAAACCCTGAAATGTTTATTTTATGATTGTTTAGTGTTGTTCAATCAAATTAACTGATCATCTTGGCGATAAACGTTCTTAAATATCATTTCATATCTTCTTGTATGATTATAGTTTTACTGTTCACCATGCATAAACGTATCATAGCTTGCAATACCCAATACTGAGATATTATTTATTATATTGTTTATTTGCCTTTCTACTTCTTGGTATTTTTTCTCATTTTTTTTGTTATTTTTGTGTTTTTTTTGTTTTTTTTTGTTGCTGTTTTTATATTTATTTTTTGAAATACTCCTTTTTAAATGTTTGATAAAATTAGATGCACTACTGTAGATATGTACTGAAAATTCCACACTGTACCACTAGTAGTGTTTGTGGAATAAAGCAAAATTATTATTATTATTATACAAGGATAAAACTTGGGTACTGTGGTGTAGTATAATTCCATTGTGGATAAAATGCCCATTTTGATTAAGTCCCACAGTGGTGTTATACAGGAATACTTACAGATGACAGTTTCGAGTACAAATTTATTGCTGCTCATAATCACTATCAAGGTACTCACTTACATAACTTTCTTGTTTCGTTTATATGGAATTCTGTGTCGATCTTAATTAACAGATCGATTGTACTTCAAAAACACGAATATTGTTAGTGACGACTACTCTAGAATATTCTGTTTATGTATAAATGTAAAGCCAGACGACGAAGTTATCGAAAGGGGGATATTCTTTGTTGCTCAATGTTTTTGTTTCTTCTAGGTGTCTGAGTAAAAATTGATTAGACATTTGAATAAAATCAATATAAGACTTGCGTGAAACACAAAGGAAGATAAAGTACATTCAGAAACAATAATATTAGTGTTATCAATCAAATACAAAACGATGGGAAATAAGATGTTTTTATAGTCAAAATAAATAAATAAATAACTTGTTAGAATGTTATAATGTACGTGAATTGAAATAGAATTTCAAGATTATTTATTATCCTCCTCTGATTTGACTGACTGGTGGTAATAATATCTTCCATACATATCTCTGGTATTCGCGTCGAGTCACGTTTATTGCATATGTCGGGTGTAGATTATTCGATGAACCAGGATTCAATAATCAACCACCCCTCTCTCCATGTCTCCATCTACCTATATTACTTTTAAGAATTTCGACTGTGTCCCACCCACTCAACTGTGCGGCTGTGTGTTAATGCATACAGTGCAATTTAGTGCTGAGTTTTTATCTAAATTACTTATCTTCGTGGGGTCTAACCTTAGGTAACTCACAGTCATTGCAGGGTATTTTGTAAATTATATAAAATTAAAAAAAATAATTTTTCCTTCACGTCCCCAGTGGAACATAGGGCTCCAAGCTAGTGGCTTGAAATTTCTGTAGCAGTGTTTAATTTTTACAGGATGGGGTTGCTAGCCTCATGCCCAACCTTTCCTCTTTACCAGCATTATTATTTCTGGCTCAGTGAGGTAAAGGAGTGCGCCGGCCGGGGATCGAACCCCGGACCATATGCATGGCCAGCGAGCGTGCTAACCGCTATTTTGTTTAATTGGGTCAACCTACAGGGTCCTTTAGCCTACAGAGCTTGTTCTACTTGAGTGAGTTTGTAGGTAGGTTTAAATGCCACCCTAATTCCTGTTTTATTGAGAATCCTACTACGTGAGGTATCAGATGTCCTCTCCTTATTTGATAGAACCACGGTAGATGCTTTATATTCCCTCTTATTTATGTTATCATTACCATATTCGCAATTATTTTTATTTTGCTTTTGACCTTTTCTAATCTTCCTGATGAATTTTGTAGGATAGTTAGTTATTTAACATCAACCAGCTCTTCTTCTCTCTGTTTTGTTTCATCGTTTAGGTCTGTTATTGTACTACTTAGTGTTGTCATTGCTGACTTTGTTAGATACTTAACAACTTAGCCTGCCTGTTTCAAACTACCTAATTATCTTGTAGTTGTTAGGTCTGATATTGTTGTTGAAATTGTAATTCAATAAGGTTAATTTCTTTGATACACTGAAACCTCATTCAAATCCGAGTTTAAACACATAGCCTCGCAATCAATGTCTTATTTTAAGTAACATCATGAAGATGGTTAGGATGGATTATCCAACACAGTAATCTCACCTAAGTGGTTTCAGGAAACAGTTAACTGCAAATTCTGTCTATTCTGGCAGCAATATTATCCTCAAGAAGAGATTGTCAGACTCTGGAGTAGATGAAAACTTGTGGTAAGCAGTCACTGCTATTTATCTGAACTACTTCGTCAACCCACCCAACCCCTACTCCTAAGCCATTAAAAATTATAATTGTCCAAATTATTTTATTATTTTTTTGACTACTTCATCTTTAATGACATGTTATCATTGTCCAAATCGCTTTTATTTTTCTTTAACAATCTGTTAGGTAATCAAGCTGAACTCTCGCTTATTCCCTAATCACTCTTCATTTTTCCAAAATTATGCATTATGCAATCCACTTGTTGCACTCATTTCTACCTTTTAATTGTGAATGTATTAATATTTTCTTCGTTAGTTATCTAATTATCTTCTGCATCGAAACCATTCGATTTGTATGCATGTTCTATCCCAAAGTATGACAACTTTAAGTGATAAGCTATTGTGCAAAGTGTCCTGGTTGACCTATCAAAGAATCCATCAGAAGTCTTATTGATATAAAGGCTAGAATTAAGGCACTGTGGTAGAGTATAATTCCATTATGGATAAAATTTTATGTTGTTCAGGTGTAGTCAGATTATCAGAGCATAAAAATTTACCTAAGGTTAGAATGTTCATTATAATAAAGGTTTTTACATTTCCCAATGAATGAAAAACAAAACGATATTTAATGCTAATAGCTTTATCAAAGTATTATTAAACAGGAATTTAAAAAATCCACTCAGCTTATATATAACAAAGAGTTAAGGGGTGAGAAAATAGACTACTTAGGTCAAGTTAAAGGGACATAGTGAAAGTCAAAATAACAATGAAGATCACTAAACCAAATAACAAAGGTAATAGTACATCTGTTATGATATCAAAACGAAGTTTACTAACTTGATCATCGTCTGTCAGTCTGGGGTCATTTTTAGTTGTCAAGTTGGTGAATTGGTAACGATAACAAAATTAAGTGTAGATAGTTGGATTTGATCAGTGTGTAAAATTATAAAAGTAGTGTGTGTGATTACATAGTGAACTTGCTTATCACATTTGTGTTGATTTTGCCACTTCATTGGGGAGGGGGGGGGTGTTGTAGCCAGGTCAGATTCTGTTTTAGTCTATCATCATTCCTATTCAGACAATTTAGATTCCATTTGATATGAAGTGCTTCTGATGATATTGGACGTTCTTTGTGATTTCTGAAATCGTTTTTCTGGATTATTTCAATATTGTCAAAATCAATTTTGTGGCCTGATTTTGTAGCGTGTAGACCACCCATGGCTGATGATTTTTCAAACTTTTCTAGTTCACAACTGGATTTCTTACCGGTCGAACAGAGTCGGCTCTACAGTGTTCATTTCTTCTGATTTTGATTTCTCGAGATGTTTGTCCAACATAGATCGCATCACATTCCAAACAAGCATTTTATTTTGTAGACACAATTAGATAGAGAATCTTTCGGGATTTGGTCTTCTCTATGGACAAGGTTGCTTTGCAGTGTGTGAGTCTGATGTTTTGAAGAAAACTCTGATGTCGAGCTGACTGAGTACTTTTCTGATATCGTCTGATGTCTCTGCTCTATATGACTATTGATGTCCCTGTTTTCGGAATGTGTTTTCAGCCATACTTAATGTCTGTGTTGATTTTGTTGATGAAGTTCCTTGGGTAGTTGTTTTGCTTGAGAGTTTCAGTAGTGTTTGATATTTATTCTTCTTTTTCTTTCTCATCCGTTAACATCAAAGAGTGTACTCGTCTAAGAAGACTTGAAACAGCTAAAATCTTTGCGCTGATAGCAGTCTAGAAATGGTAGTTCACCGACG